GGGGGGGGGGGGGGGGGGGGGCGGAGCCCGGAGCGTCGGTGCAGTCATCGTTGACACACTGAAAATTTCTAAAAGCAGTTCTTGGAACTCATTGCGCTGGTAATAGTTACTGGACTATGTTACCGTATTAGTAAAGTTTACGTGTTTGTGTTCTAGAAAACAGTACTATTCTATTATCCTTGGTAGCAAAATCTTTTTGAATTCGGCCACGTATCTATGTGAGAAGAAGAAAATGTCCAAGTCGAGTCCACACACTTATAAGATACAAATTTGCATTGGTTCCAATTTTAACATCGTGATTTGTAAATATTTTTAAATTTAGTAATGCAAGATTAAGTCGCAAATGAAATATCAAGCGAGTAAGATGGAACCCGTTGATTTATTCAATCCTGCTGTTAGGTTATTTTATCTTATGAGTATGAAAATATAAAAATATTTAAACATAATTGTGTAATCTTATTAACTCTATATCAGAGTGAAAGAAAAGCCTTGGGATCAAATTGAATTTGAATATGTAGACGCGAAGTCCAATTTACAAAAATTGAAGGACTTTGACTGAAAATCGATTGCAAATAACGTTATTACGTAACAAATTAACTAAATTTATCCGGTGTCAACAAAATGGAAACACCAGACATTTTTACGTCCCCCGTTGGACTCGAATTACTCGAACTTTCTCGAATTTTCCCAAATTTTCTGGGTTAAGCAAAGATTTTAGATCGATTCAAAACATGAATTAGATTTCAGTTACATATTCAAGCAAGGTCTAGACGTTTAGCTCGGTTTAAGGATTACAAGTGCGCGATACAATGCAAGAGTAACGAACACTCCAAATGAAAAATTTCAACTTTTTCGCTATTTTTAGGCTTTAGATATTTTTATTAATTAAACTTTTTATTTTTAAGTTTTTTTCATCTTTTTTTTTTAATATAAATATAATCTTTTGAAAATTGAATTTTATAAATTTAATTCAATCAGGAGAGGATATGCATTGATTAGATAGTAATATATGAAGTAGATGGCTTGTTTATTTCAAAAATGGTTATATTTATTTATTATAAATTTCGATAATTTAAAAGAAATTATTTTAAAAATTACACTACTTATCAAGTATACAATAATATACAATCAAAGGTAATTTCAAGAAAACATAAAATATTATTCTTTCAACGATGCATGGTCTTCTTCGTCGACGGGCAGAGTTGTCTGTACCTCTGCATCCAGCAAACTTTCTTCATTCAGAGTTATTTCTTCCTCTGTATCGATTAAACTTTCCTCATCGTCATCTTCATCGACGGGCAGAGTTGTCTGTTCCTCTGCATTCATCAAACTTTCTTCACTCAGAGTTATTTCTTCCTCTGTATCAATTAAACTTTCCTCATCGTCATCTTCATCGATGGGCAGAGTTTTCTGTTCCTCTTTATTCATCAAACTTTCTTCATTCAGAGTTATTTCTTCCTCTGTATAGATTAAACTTTCTTCGTCGTCGGTTTCACCAATGGACAGAGGTACGTCTTCCTCTGTGTCGATGAGACTTTCTTCATCGGCGGTTTCATCGATGGACAGAGTTGTCTTTTCTTCCGTATCTATTAAACTTTCTCCATTGCTAATTTCATCGATGGACAGAGTTGTCTCTTCTTCCATATCTATTAAACTTTCTCCATTGCTAATTTCATCGATGGACAGAGTTGTCTTTTCTTCCGTATCTATTAAACTTTCTCCATTGCTAATTTCATCGATGGACAGAGTTGTCTCTTCTTCTATATTTATTAAACTTTCTTCATCGAGGAGCATACGTATTTGTTCCTCTATCTTGTACATTTTCATTTCATCGATGATTTCATCGTCGAACTCTGATGTCTGTTCCTCGATATTGTCAAAACTTTTGTCATTGATGATTTCATTGATGAGCAGACGTGTCGATTCCTCCTCCTTGACCAAACATGGATTGGCACCGTTTTTAATCAGCATCCATACTAAGTACCTATTTCCTGAGTCCAATGCATAGTCTAATGGTCTGTTACCCAAACGGTCCACGCTGTTGACTGGAACTGGAAGCTTCCTCTTGGCACTTATGTCAAACAGCAGCTTTGCAAAGATATGAGTATCTTTATCTTTCTTGCAGATGATGTGAATAGGAGTCTCTCCCCTGGGATTCGCGAAATTCCACATAGAAGTTTGAATATTAAAAAAACACGAAATTGAAAAATGTATTATAATAATAATAAGTAAAAATTTGAATAATAAATGTCGTGAATTCATGGTCTGAGATAATGAGCCTTAGGAGTTTTTGTATAATTTATCTTTAAAAGTAAAAAGATTTGTATCTTCATTGTTACGGCTAGCCGAAGTTTGATCGAAATTTAATCAAACTTCAATTTACAAATCCCTCAAAGAACAATCAGCACGAATTTTTCACAAACCTCTATGTACTTTTTTTTGATTGTTTGGTGAATTTTTACATTTTACAACATTTTCCAAAGTCTTATCTAAAAAAGTTGGCATTCGACAAAAGGGACATCAAGGAGAACGTGGCGTTCGTCGTGTCGCGCAAGACCACCCACGGTGGCCTGAAAAAGATCCTGATGCAGCTCGACGTTCGAGCCTGCGCCTTTGCCTTGGCGATGGTCGCGCTTCGCGTCGTCGCGCTGCGAAATGTTCTGCGACTGTCGTGGGCGGCTGCTTGCCTCGAGCTCGTCCGGCTGTTCACCAACTCGCTAAGACAGAGCGCCTTCGAGCGAGCCCGCTACTTTTCCGAGAGAATCGCCCTGATAACCCTGATCTTGCTCACCGGCATGACCAGTACCTTTTTTCTGTCCTCGCTGAAGGCCTTCAGTACGTTCACGAAATTTCACTCCGACTTCGAGACTCTGCAGGATCTCCGCCGGACGGACTACGAGGTCTGGGGTCTGCCCAACAACGCGAGACGCTTCCAGAAGCCCATCGGCAAGGAGATTCGCCTGTACACCAATCTGAGCTCGTGCGTGGCCAAACTCTTGAGGGACGAGCGGATCGTGTGCATCACCAGTCCGCAGCAACTCAATACCTGCGGCGTCAAGGAGAGCCGAGGCGTCCACGTGTCCAAACCGCTGATCACGTCGCAGTACGACGGCTATCACTTCTCGGCCGATTTTTCGCTGCTGCCGAGATTCAATCGGATATTTCGGCGAATGAACGACGCCATCGCGAGGAGAGAGGGGCGGCCAAGAGGGGCGACGAGACCAAATACGCCGTGGGGATTCTGTGCGCTGGCTGCGGACTGGCGGCTCTGATCTTTGTACTCGAATTCGTTGTCGAAATTTACTCGCGGTATAAGAATAAAGTTTTTAATGTATCAACGAAATCGATGAAGTAAAACGTTAGCCTTGCGATATTTTCATTTCCTAAAATATCACATGGGGTGACTGTATACCACTACAGACCACAAAAAAAATTTACGTCACGCAAAATTTCGGTCGCCACGAGGTAAATCCGTTTATCGATGTGCCTGATGTGAATTATTGCGTGGCGTGTCATTGACACTTCTGGCATCGTTTATAATTACGACGGGTTAAGAAAAAAACGAAGCGATCTCACGGAGGATCTACGATAGTATATATAGGCCGAGGCTGCACTCTGCGCTATATGTATAAGCAGCAGCAGCAGCAGCAGTAGTCCATTTCACGCGACGCAGTCACCAGCTGTTTGTTCTTGCGAGCGCTATATAATAGAATAATATATAAGTATATATCCCATGCGTATATAACAAGCGGCGAGATTTCCTCGTTCCGGCAGCGACTATATATGACCTAAACTATATATTATATATATAAAACAGGGTACACACCTGCGCTGTTGTCGAGGAGCTGTTCTCTTTCTTTCTCTCTCTCTCTCGTTCGCTAGCTCGCGCGACACCTGCTCTGCTTAGGTGTATTATACACGCGAAAAGCGAGCAATCTGCATCCGCATTAGAGGAAGAGGAAGTGAGAAAGAGAGAGAGAGATAGATAGAGTTAAATTTCGTTTCTCGCTCCTGTTCAATGTTCTCGTCCTTTTCGCGATATAAGTACGCTACTTCTTTGAGCTACAGATATAAAATGATTATGAATTGTCCATTTTGCACTTGTTTTTATTGGATTGTGAAAATTTTCCCACCTAAGCATCGATCAAGAATCATGGATTGTAGATCGTACGGAGCGCATAAACATTGACTTACGCGTAAGGTCACGAAAAGAATTTAGTCTAAGAAGTATCGTCCAGATCGTAATCGACTAGAAAAACCAGTGTGGCTATCATGAAAAAAAATATCAGCCATCTCGAATTCGAGCTGTGCACATCTTAATTTTTGACGTTGCTACTAGACAGAGACAGATCAACAACGCGCACAAAAATTTATTTACGCCTGTAGCTTCTTGCTAGACGTGGTTTTTTTATAAACGAATTTTGTTTATACGCCGTCGACCCATTGTAGTACAAACCCTTATAGCCGTTCTAAATTATTCAACTTTTAACATGAGATAATATTACTTTATTGAAGGAATACACCATTTTCATAATATTGATTAATTGCAAGTTTTTTAATCGAAAATTCTATTATGTTGTAGATAATGATGCCCACGGGCTTCTTGAAAAGGCTCGTTCGAACGGGGAAAAAATGTTTCTTTGAAAAATTAGTGGGTATCAAGCCGCATAGATTGAACTTGGTCAGAGCCTGCATTCGATCGAACTTCAATTCCTTAAAGAGGTATGAAATCAACCTATTTTTATGTCGATCAAATCTAATTGACCGTGTATAATTGCCCGTCAACGTCACGCATATACCTGCGATATTTATTTAGCTCGTATATATAGTATCATTATACACACCGCTTCTCGCTTACGATCCGTCGATGTAAATTTTCCTCTCGTCGCTATCATACGCCGCCACGTACATATTAATGTCCACGAGCACTTCTGTATAGCAACACGCGCGCGTGCTATATACAGAATCATTAATAATAAATTCTACCGCGAGCCGGAGGGCAGTGTAGCTCGGACAAAAAGAGAAGAAAAAGCAAAACGATGGAATCATGCGAACGGTCGAATTCTATTTCAAAATCTGCTCTGCCATTAGATATCTCGGCAACGAATTAGAAATATGTGTGTACATATAGGAATAATGCGCGCTACGCTGCGCTCATGATATGCATCCACGCGTGACGAGCGTTTAATACATCGCTACGTCCGCGTCATATATTTCAGCTCTGGAAAGTGATGACTCCGACCGAAAATTATACTTTCGATTCACGCTTGGCGGCTTCCGGTGCTGCACATAGCGCCCATTAGAAATGTATATTGTATACACCAACGTGTGGCGAGCCACGTCGCAACTATTACAGTATTTTGTCTCGTTCGTATAGTCGTACGTTTTAAATCCGGTGGACAGAGCTATGTTCTCGTTTCAGAATGATAGATATTAGGGGTTATCAATTTCCGGAACGTATCGAATTGGAAATTTTTGATTATCAGAATGGAAAGTTAGGAGTTTTGAAAGTATTCATTTTTTCAAATGAATTGTTTTTGTGGCAGTTATTGAAATTTGGTTGATACCATAATTTGCACTATGGCGTGAAAAGAAAGTTTACATTTTTCATTTAATCAAGTGTATCAACAGAGGCAATTTAGCCAACTTGAATGATCTTTAATCTCAGTTGAGAGATGTTAAAATATGGAAACTTAAAAATGATTTGCTAAAAAAACCAACTATACAACAGCTTCATTTCCCATCACGGAAAGTCCGTACCAGAAAGCCATGACACGAAATCATTAAAATTTTTCAAAATTAGTCTACTTTGGCTGTACAATATTCGTCGGTAACGAAGACTCCTTCAGCTATTTGCCTCGCCACTTCTTGACAGCACTGCGGTGCGACTGCGCCAAGCCGTCCAACTCCGAAAAAATTTTTATGCAAGTTCATTCGAGTGCATTAGTACAAGAGTAGATACCGAAGAGTGAACGTCGCATCGACGTAGAGAAGAATTCTTCTACAAGAAAATATATTTCACTAGTTAAAAGTTATTCTATGATTGTGTGACAGTGTGTAAAGAGATGGCCCACGACGAATTTCAAAAACTTTCAAATGATCGCTTTAATGAAATTATGGATGTCGAGGCGGGTCAAAATAAATTAGAAAGTTTAAACAGAATGCGAGCACGAGTAAATTGGGAGATTGAAGAAGAACGTGAAAATTTTTACTGGCAACTGTGTAGGTTAATCAATGATTGGAAGAGTCGACTTCCGAATCTCCGTGAGATTTTTTGCAAAGAAGAGATCGATTGGCTGCTCACGAAGTGTGTGAAAATTGGTCCCACCGAGTTAATCAAATTTGTGATAAGGACAGGATACAGAGACGAGCCCGACCTCGATAAAGACGGTAAGCCACTTTTGTGTCGCAACACACCAATACTTTATGCTGCAAGACATACGATCCGCGATTGGATATCCAAGGTTCGAGAGCTTTTTAAAATTTACGACAAGTTCAACGTAAACTACACCAACGAATCTGGATTCACTCACTTTCATGTGGCCTGCATGTGTGGCTGCGATGAAATCGTCGAGAAATTTCTCGAGCTCGGCCAGGATCCCAATATTTCCATGAAAGAAACAGGCGATACGTCACTGCACATGGCCTTGAAGAACAGACACACGAAGACTATTGAATTGCTGCTGAGAAATGGCGCCGATCCGAATTGGGCTAATAAGAAAGGATTGACTCCAATTCACATTATTTGCAGGGGAGGCAATGATGATGACTTGTTTGAGGAATTCTTCAAGATCGCCAATGAAATTAAGCAGACGATTCAAGTCGATGCTCGGGACAATTCGGGTCGGACCCCATTGCACTGGGCCGTGCATTACGGACATATGAAGTTAGTCGATTTACTGCTAAGAAGAGGAGCTGATGTAAATTCAAAAGATGCGAAAGAACGTTCATGTCTGCACTTTATTGGCGATGTAGAAGTCGCTGATGACGCGACGGAGAAATTTTTTGAGATCTGCGAAAAGATCCAGCTGACGGTAAAGGTCAATACCCTAGACAATTGTGGTCGGGCACCATTGCACGTAGCTCTGCGCAACGCCAAACCGAAGATGTTCGAATGTCTACTGAGGAATGGCGCCGATCCCAATATAGCCGACGCAGAGGGATCAACATCTCTGCATCTCATTGCATTACATGGCATAGATGACTTGGTGGAAAAGTTCTTCGAGATCTGCAATGATATGCAGCTGAAGGTGCAGGTCAATGCCCTAGAAAAAAGAAGTGGTCGGACACCATTGCAAATTGCTGTGCGTTTGGATAAAAGGCGTGTGGTCGAATCGCTACTGAGAAATGGCGCTGATCCGAATATACCCGACGTAGAAGAATATACATCACTGCACGCGATTTGCTCAATAAATTACCATGATGACTTAGCCGAGAAATTCCTTCAGATCTGCGATGACAAGCAGCTGACGATACAGGTCGACGCTCAAAGCAAGTTGGGCTGGACGCCATTGTACTTGGCTCTGTTCAAAGGTAAAAAGAAACCTGCCGAATGGTTGCTGAGAAAAGGCGTCAATCCAAATTTAGCTAATAAGAAGGGATGTACACCTCTTCATGCAATTAGCTGTAGAAAAATCGATGATGACCTTGCGGAGTGGTTCTTTGAAATATGCGATGACATGAATCTGATGTTGCAGGTCGATGCCAAGAACAATTCGGGCGAAACTCCATTGCACTTAGCTCTATACAATGGTAAAGAACGAAATATCAAAGAACTACTAAGAAAAGGTAGCAATCCGAATTTGACCAACACCGTAGGTTATCATCCTTTGCATATGATTGCATCACGCCCAATAGATGACGAGTTGGTGGAGAAGTTTATTAAGATGTGCAGTGATATACAACAAACAGTGCAAGTCAATATCCCAGATAAATGTGGTTGGACTCCATTGCACTATGCCCTGCTCAAGAGTAAAAAACAAAATGTCAAAGATCTACTTCGAAGAGGCGCCAATCCGAATGCAGCCGATAAACGTGGATTGCTACCTCTTCACATTATTTGCAATGGAAGGCACGACGATGACTCGGTGAAGTTATTTTTCGAGATCGCCAATGATGTTCAGCAGACAGTCCAAGTCGATGCTCTGGACAAATGGGGCTTGACACCGCTAGATACAGCTGTAGGAAGTCTTTCACCGGGTGTGGTCGATGTACTCTTGGATCATGGGGCTGATCTGTCTGACTTCGCTTTCCCCCCCGATGATTACTTTTGCGAGATGTTTGACGAATATAAAAGCGACTGGGATAAATTAAAATTGGCATCTGGCATTCTAGCCGTCGTTGAATGCTTAGAAAAAAGGGGCTATGAAATGGAAGGAATCGATGTCCTGACGATCATTAAATTGTTTGTCGAGTATGAATCGTTCGAAAATTCGTCGGATTTGTTGGAAAAATGTTGGTACGACGAAGAGGAGTTCACGAGCAAAGCCAAAGAGATAATTATCATTCCGAATCTGTCTCTGTACGATCTAATCCAGTTACGATCCGAAGAAGCTGCGAAACTACTCACATACACGAACTACTTGGAGATCGAGCGAGTAAACAACTTGGATAGAATCCCCGAAAAATATCGCGATTTGTGCTTGAGGCATCTTTGCGAAAAAATGTCTAGAAGATATTTTGAAAGGTTGGCAATCGATGCTTTTCAAAAGCTGATACACCACCGACTGCCGATTCTCTGCTGCGATATGATCATCGAGAATTTGAAAAACGAGGATTTGTTTAGAATATACGAAGCCAGTGAAATCGTTGCACAAGAAAACAAAGCCAAATTATTTGATGCAGTTGAAAAAGGTCCAGTTGATCAAAAAGTGCAAATTATTAAATGGTACTTGCTTTTTTTTACCATCTAAATAATAATTTTATAAATTTTTCTAATCCCTCCATCTTTTGTATTTTCAGGCAACGAAGTTCAGAAATGATAAATTGATATTTTTCATTAAAATCTTGAAAAATTTTGGTAGTGTACAAGATTTACATTTTATGATAATGTACAATTTTAAAACTTGTTTTGAAAATAAATTTAATAAAACTAATTGTATACTTGAGTATACATCAATGAAGCAACATAAGATGGTATTTAATTTATTTAACAAAACTCTACCTAACTTGTTGATGCTTATGAGGAAGTTGCAAATATTATCGCGATTTCGCCAACCAGTTCATAAGGATAATTTTCAAATTATCATCATGAGTTTTAAATTTGAATGTATTCTTAAGGAGGCTTTACGCATAATACGAACGATCATCCAACAAGATAAAACTTATATCAATCGATTTGTTAGATCTTCAAAATGAGCTTCCAAAAAAAAAACATGTGGTCGACGATCAAACTTTCGACATGAACAAGTTTGAAAATTTAACACGGATTCTGATCGGACGCGGTCATTTATTGTTTATAACTAATTTAAAAGATCAACCATCTTGATAAAAAATATATTTTCTGAAAGAGAAAGTTCCAAGCTTTCGTTTGGTATGTTAAAAATTAGCCCTTACGAACTAACTAACGAGTAATTAAAAAAATCATTGATTTCGAATAGTGTGAGCGGTTGTATGCCTAATGCGATAAAGAGACAGACAGATGCCTCGCTGTACTATTGTTATGATTGGTGTAGAGCCTCCTTAACCACTTGGAGAACCTAAGTTGAATAATTTTAATGCCA